CTTCTCATATATATTTAAAGTATTATATTGCAAATATTACAGGATTGATTGTTATATAAAATTTCATTAAAATAAAGGACATCTCACATATAGTTCAGTTGAAATTCTGTGTATTTTATTCAGGTCATATTACCTATCCCAATTAGGAAGCCAATTGGAAAATATTTTGAATCCACGATCAAAGGTAAATAGTACAAGTTAAATAGCCTGAGATTGTAATTAATTAATGCTGATTTATTGTGATTAATTGGAGATTAGATCATTTAATAAATATAGACAGGATCTTTTCTAAATAAGCAATAGAATACAATTTAAATAGCATAACAATATATTATATATTATATTATATGTATATAATATATATATATATATATATATATATATATATATATATATATATATATATATATATATATATATAATAACGGATTGATTACGGCTGTCGCCGCTTCTCCGCCCCAATTTTCATCTTTTTCTGTCATACGCAGTTGCCTCTGCTAAGTCTCTTGCCGCCATTGCTTCATCAATATCGTTGCGCCAACTTCTCCGTGGTCGTCCTCTCTTTTTTCTTTCAGGAGGGATCCATTCCAGTACTCTTTTAGGAGTCACATATTTATATAGGAGTCATCATTGATATTTCGCTCCATTTTTAATTCGTTTCTTATTTGTTCGTTCCTAACTCTTTCTAGTTTCGATCTACTGCAGCTTCGTCTCAGATAATCCATTTCTGTCGTCATAAGTTTGTTTTTATTAGCTTTGGTGACGTCCCATACTTCGGAACCGTAAAGTGTAATACTTTGGACTATACTACCGTAAATGTGTTTTTTGGTTTCTCGTCGAATTGTTTTTTGCCAGAGAAGAGTGTTTAAGGGACGGGTCGCTGCTCTACCCTTGTTTATTTTTTCCCTGATTTCATCTGCGCTATTTCCCTTCTTATTGAAAATGACCCCCAAATATTTGCAGGATTGTACGCCTTTGATTTTGTCGTCTTCCAAGACTAGGTCACATATTTCATCTATTCCCACTAATAGATATTCACATTTTGTCATATTCATGTTTAGACCTGCCACCTCATATTATTTTTGCAGTTTTCTTACCATATAGCTAAGATCGTAGCTATCTTCGGCAATTACTACCTGGTCATCCGCAAAGAAAAGTGTATATAGCGTGTTTTCTTCCACCGTTATTCCCATGTTTCTACATTTTTTTACCCATTTCACTAAGGATCTGTCCAAATAGATTTTAAATAAGGTGGGTGACAGACAGCAGCCTTGTCTTAGTCCCTTTGTTGTTTGAAAAGGAGAGGTGATTTCTTGTCAAATTTTAATTCTTGCAAAGTTTCGTTCGTAGTATTTTTGAGTGGCGTTAATAAGAATTGGGTTTATTTTCAAGTTATCCATTTCTATCCATAGTTGGGAGATCGGTACACTATTATATGCTTTTTTCAGGTCTATTAAAGCTATATGGGTTTCTCTATTTCTCTGCACTCGTTTTTCCATTGCAATTTTTAATGTGAAAATATTATCCATAGTGGAACGTCTGGCCCTAAATCCCGCTTGTTCTTCGGGTTGTTCATCTTTAATATCATTTTCTATCAGGTTTCTCAGTACTTTTGAATATAATCGGCCTATAGTAGCAATCACTGCGATCATTCTATAGTTTTTAGGATCCGTTTTTGTGCCTTTCTTGTGTATTGGAGAGATATACGATTTTCTCCATTCTTCTGGAACTTCTTCTCCGTTTAAGCATCTTTCGAATAATTTTCGGTTCATTTCAAGCAGTTTTGATGATCCATACCTAATAAACTCTGGATGTATTCCGCCTGGGCCTGGAGATTTTTTAAATTTCATTCCCTTAACTGCTTCTTTCACTTGTTTTATTGATAGTTCTATTCTTCCTTCTACTTGCACTTGTTCATTTGTCTGTTTAAACCTTTCTCTTCTCTCTTAATAAGTTCTCAAAATGGTCTATCCATGTGTTCTCTGGTATTCTATTTATTATGACTTGGTTTTTTGTCGTTGTTATCATCGTTTTTATAGTTCTCCAGGCTTCAGAGCTCTTTGTCCCTCCTATATGGTTGTCTAGGTATTGGCATTTTTGTTCCAATGCACTATTTTTCTTTTTAACGACTTCTCGTTTGACTTCTATATTCAAGTTTTTATATTGTTGTTTTGTTTGTTCGTCTCCCTGTTGTAATAACTTTTGATATACTTCCTTCTTTTTTTTTATCTTTTCTTCCACTTCTTTATCCCACCAATATGGTTTATCTACTCTCCGTACCTGTGGCCCTAAGGCTTTTAGCGCTGCGTCTTTCATGCAGTTTTTTATATGCCCGTATTCATCCGTCGTTAATCTGTGTGATTCCTGTAGTTTTGTGTTAGTCTCCAGGAGTAAAGTAATTGTGTGCTCTCGTTATCTAGATTGTCTAAGGTGTACGTCATTCTTTCTATTTTTTCTTTGTGTTTTTTGTTGATATCTGTGTGATTCCTGTCTACGAATGGTGTATATATTTTTCCTATTATCAGGCAGTGGTCCGAACCGCACTCTGCTCCTCTATTCACCTTTACGTCCTGTACTCTTAGCTTAGTTTTTTGCCTTGTTATGAAATAATCTATTATCGATTTTAGACCTCTTGTGTGCTGATACCAGGTGTATTTATGTATGTTCTTGTGGGCAAAAAAGCCATTCAAAATATTTAACTCAAATTTAATATAGGGATTACTATAAATTTTAATTTTTGTGGAAATGGCGTATGTTTTATTTTTCACTTTTTCCAAAAAAAAATCAAAAGGGTCCTCTTATTTTCATCATAACTTGCTTAGTTTTGATGATCTCAACTTTTTGTAGAGCTCATTTTATAGGTATTTCTGATTACTTTAAAAATTGTTTGTTAAGTATATTTTATAAAATGCATTGTTTTCCCGTTATTTAAGCTTTAATATTCAGATTTGAGTACACGCTGAAAAAAAAAATACACTTAATTACCTATAACTCACTTTGAATTAACACTAAAAGGTTTTTCTAGCAAGAAATTTATTAAATTTTTTATTACCTTCAATTTTGGTAATAACAACTTTTTTATAAAAACTATAGTTTTTGAATTATTTATGAAAAAGCGCTTTAAAACATGCATTTTTTTCACGAAAAATCAAAATCTTTGATCATCAATAACTCAAAAAGTATTAATTTATTTTAATAACTTTGTAAGATAAATTTTGGTTGGATTTGGTCCCTCTATCGATTGCTGGGGTTATTTTTAATAAAATAATTTCCATCCCCGAGAAGTGGTGGCATCCACCCCTAGGGTAAAAGCGCAAGTTGACAACAGGTCACTTTTGTTTCTTAAGGTATCCTCTAACTACTCACCAATTTTCATAAAAATCGATGAAGGTTCAACGAAATTGGAGTGAAAACCTTCAGTGACTCTACTACTAATTATGTTATTTATTTATTTAACGATATATGTATGTGTGATATTGATATTTTTAAATATATTTTGGTTTAGTGAAGTTTACTATAGTTTTATTTAATGATATTGGTTTTTCTCATTATTTTGTAAATATTCCATTTCTGTTTTTTGGGATTCAAACATTTAAAAACAGTGGCGCCCTGTTTTCTTCTGAGAAGCTGTTCTTTTACCTGTTTCCTTTTTGGTATTATATAACTGCAAATTGTTACCGGTGTCTTAAGATTAATTTTTTTGTTTTCTGGCAAGGGTTAAGACCATCAGTCCACTAGACTACTCATAGTGAAGAGAGTCTGCTTCGCCCGCCTGGGCGGGAATAAAATTTAAGTGTAAAAAATAAAAGAATAAAAGAAGTGAGTTTTTTATTTTACTTCATCTTATACGATATACATAGAGCATTTAATAATTAAACAAAACGTCTTGATTTTGTCTTCATTGACTGAAAACAGGCTATATACCCATGAACTATTCTAAAAACCTGTAAATAAAATATAACAATTTTAAATTATTTTTTAGTAAAAGAATTTAAATAATACGTTTTTGTGTAAAATATATTTAAAAGTTTGTTATATCCGCTAGTAATCTAGTCTATACGCTTGTTTGTACGATATATCCACGAATTATTTTGTAAATTACGCTGTTTTGTAAAAATAAAATAATAAAAGTAAGCCGATTGCCAGTTATATCTCTGGAATATTTTAATGTGTGATAATAATAATTCACGCAAGTCTAGCATAGTCCATCATCTTTATTTTTCATTGAACACCCTATATGTGTTTAAGCTTTTAACATGTTCTTAACTGCTTGATCTTAGCAAACCGCTTATATTATGTAGAATCCCTTATGAATAATATAAGCGAGGTTCCTACAGCCTCTGCCGCCTCTCGCATTTCGACCGCCATCGTTCTCTGTCCATCCATTCGTCTTCTTTGATGGCTCTATCTCATTAGGTGTCGTACATTTTCTTCCCAGGCATTTTCTTCCCCTTCTTCTTCTTTGTTGTGGTATGTAACTTAAAGCTTTCTTTGGCCATCTATCTTCATTTATTCGCTTCACGTGACCACACCACACTAGTTGTCTCGTTTCAGTTCTGCCTACACTGAAATATACAGTATTTGTCCTCCTTCTAATATCTTTATTCCTTATATGATCTTTTTTGGATACACCACACGCTCTCCTTAGAAAATCCATTTCTACTACTTCTATTCCTTTTCAATCTTTTTTCGTGATCTGCCAAACTTCTGACCCATAAGTGATAATAGGCTCTACCAAGGTTCGAAAGATTGTCAATTTTGTTTCTTGTCTAATATCTTTAGACTATAGTAGATAGTTTAGAATGCTTTTTTTCCCTGTTGCGTTTTGTTTTCGATGTCTCTTTTGGTAGTGCCTTCTTTAGATATTATTGTAGTCTTATTTGAATTTCGCGCCATTGACAGATCTGATTGTCACTCAATTTGAAAAAAAAAGAAGATAACCACACACTTTATGTTTAGACTTGAAACTTGTGATTATGAATTATGGCCATCTGAATGTTATGAAAACTATTATGTCGAATTATGTACAATTAGTGTTTCTTTCCGCTAAATAAACTTAAGAAAACTAGAACAATATTATTTATTAACGGAGCCTACAGAATCAGAAGTGGGATTACGTGGATCGCCGATATTTTTGCAGATTTAAAAATTGTGTTTAGTATTGACGATAGCCATGCCGGGATCAGACACCGAAATTGAAAATACAAGTGGAAACACCGTCGCTCAGGCGAGTATAGCTGAAATTGTTAGGAAATTAGGAGAACTTATGATCCAGTGTCGTCGAGAAGAAAGATGGAGACTAGAAGGTGGAAAAAGAGTGAAAGCTTTTCAGCATATTTCCATGACAAACTGTTACTGGGCAACGAAGCAGGAGTTGAGGATGAAGATATGATACATTATCTGATTGATGGGTTTGATGATCGCCTACTTCAAAATCAAGCCAAAATGATGTTATCCACACTCAATAGCACTGAAGATTTATATAAGTTAATGGGGAGTGTTGTTAAAGATGAGGTATCAGGAAGTGGACAAAGGTTTGCTACAGCATCAAGTTATAGGGTAAGTTCTAGCCAGAACCAACCTCATACAGCAACACAGGGTCGGATGCCAGTTCCTGTAAAATGCTTTAATTGTGGTCGTACCGGACACAAAGTGACAGAGTGCAGACAAGCCAAGCGTGATAGGGGATCATGTTTTAGATGTGGAAGCAAAGATCATATGGTAAGAGACTGTCCTAATAGAAACCAGCAAGTGGTGCAACAAGTTGCAGATTCAACTACCCGAGATAGTAATGGAGCCATGGGTCTAGTGGAACGTCCTATGAGCCAAACGGATCCTTTTGTATTAAACCTGGTTCTAGATAAGTATAGCATAACATTAAATGGTATAATAGATACAGGGAGTCCAATATCATTGATATCAGAAAATTTTGTAAAGGCAGAAGATATTATTTCTTCTACTAATCTTGAATCTTATTCAGGTATAAATAAATCTCCTTTAAAAGTGTTAGGGTTTTTTTATGACACAGTTATTTTTGATGACATATCAGTAAATTTAAAATTTTATGTTGTTGAGAAAGATTCTTTTAGTTGGAATCTACTTTTGGGTCGAGATTTTATAAACAATGAATCCATAGAAAATATAAGTTTTTCAAATGGTTCTTTTAAAATAAATAAAAACTCTTGTGTACAAACAGAGGAGGACTATCAGTTTCCTTTTACAGATGTTTTGTTTATTAACGATATGGTAAATTTAGATGCAGACTTGAATATTAATTATTGTTTACCTTTTGAAATAACTACTAGTGTTCAAACTTTATTGAAGTCATATTACTTTGATTATGATAAACCATTAAAACCACAGTGTGATTTCAAAGCACAGCTTATTTTAACTAAAAATGAACCTTTTAGTATCAGACCACGTAGACTATCTTATGCAGAGAAAAAGTCATTGGATGAAATTCTTGCTAATTTATTAGAAAATAATGTCATTAGGGAAAGTGATTCACCTTTCTGTTCACCAGTAGTATTAACCAAGAAGAAGTCAAATGAATATCGAATGTGTGTAGACTATCGTACTTTAAATAAATATCTTATTAGAGATCAATTTCCCTTGCCGCTAATAGATGATCATTTAGACAGGTTAAAGAATAAGAAATATTTCTCTAAATTGGATTTGAAAAATGCTTTTTACCATGTTCCTTTAGATGAAAGTTGTACTAAGTATACTTCATTCGTTACACCTTCAGGTCAGTATGAATTTCTTAAATTACCTTTTGGTTTGAGCTCAAGTCCCTCTATTTTTGCAAGGTTTGTTAATAAAATTTTTAAAGATTTGTGCCAACAAGGAAATGTTTTAATATATTTTGATGACATATTAATTGCTACTCAGACTATCGAAGAAAATCTAGAAGTATTAAGAGAAGTTTTAATATTAGTTAGCCAGAATTTACTTGAGTTAAGACTAGATAAATGTTCATTTTTGAAAACAGAAATAGATTTTCTGGGTTACAGGATTAATGAAAATGGTATATGTCCTAATAAAGATAATGTGAAAGCTATTGCAGAGTATCCAGTTCCTACAGATACCAAGCAGGTGCATAGATTCTTAGGCCTTGCCAGTTATTTTAGACGTTTTATACAGAACTTCTCTATCATCGCCAAGCCGTTATATGACCTATTACGAAAAAATGTCAAATTTGAATTTACAATGACACATTTACAAGCTTTTGAGAATTTGAAGTCAAAACTGACATCAGAACCTATTTTAGCAGTTTATGATCCGAGTAGGGAAACAGAACTACACTGTGATGCAAGCCAAGTAGGCTATGGATCAATTTTACTTCAGAAACAAAGTGATGACAAATTTCACCCAGTGTTTTTCTTTAGCAAGAGAACAACTGACTATGAGTCTCGCTACCATAGCTACGAACTTGAATGCTTGAGTATTGTGTATGCACTTAAACGGTTTCATGTTTATCTACAGGGAATCCCTTTCAAAATAGTTACAGATTGTGACAGTTTTCGCTTAACCATGAGTAAAAAGGATATAATTCCAAGGATTATGAGATGGTGTTTGTTATTGCAAAATTATGATTACTCTATTGAGCACAGAGTAAATACAAGAATGCAACATGTAGATGCCTTAAGCAGAGTGAGTTATGTACTGGTATTAGAAGGAAATACTATTGAACAAACTTTGGCTTTAAAACAGTCCAAGGATACAGTTATTTCAGATCTTCGAAAAAGACTTGAGGAGACAGATCATCCTTTCTTTGAATTAAGAAATGGGTTAGTATATAGAAAACTGAAAGATAACATTGCATTTTATGTACCAGAGAGTATGGAGTCAGCAGTTATCTATCACTATCATAATGAATTGGGTCATTTCGGAACAGACAAAACATTTGAAATTATTTCCAAGACATATTGGTTTCCAAAATTAAAATTTAAGATTGGAAATCATATTCAAAATTGCTTAAAGTGTATTGAATTCAATCCTAAAAGTGGCAAATCAGAAGGATATCTACATAGTATACCTAAGGGCAATTTACCTTTTGAAATGCTTCATATTGATCACTATGGGCCATTAGCTCCTTTTAATAAGAATAAATATATATTTGAAGTTGTTGATGGGTTTACTAAATTTATTAAGTTCTATCCTTGCAAATCAACAAATACAGGAGAAGTAATTAAATATTTAACTGAACATTTTGCCAATTATAGTGTACCGAGCGTTATCAGTTCAGACAGAGGATCTTGTTTTACCTCTCATGATTTTAAGAAATTTTTGGAGGAGTATACAATCAAACACATACTGATTGCAAGTGGTTGTCCGAGAGCCAATGGGCAAATAGAACGCATGAACAGGTTATTGACACCTCTTCTAGCAAAGATAACCGATGAAAAACAAATCAACTGGCCAAATGCATTACATGAAGTGGAATTCTGCATCAATAATACAATAAACAGATCAACAGGAGAAACCCCAGCTAAGTTACTTTTTGGAAGAGATCAAATAGGAAAGATTAGAGATAATTTAAGAGAAGCATTACAAGATATTGATAAGGAAGAACGGGATTTAGAAATGATTCGAACTAAGGCAGAAACACAAATAATTAAGGCACAAAATGTAAATGAACAGTATTATAACAAGAAGCATAAGGAGGCTCAAAAGTTTAAGGTGGGGCAATATGTTATGATTTCCAACGTAGACACAACCCCTGGAGTAGCTAAAAAACTTATACCAAAATTTAGAGGACCGTATGAGATTGTGAAAGAGCTACCAAATGATAGGTATATTGTGAATGATATTGTTGGGTTCCAAACAACACAAGTACCATATGAGGGAATTATAGACAGTAGTAGGATTAGAGCTTATGATAAATAATCAATTTCATTATTAGTTAGGGTTAAAATAATTATGTTTAATTTTTATTCAATTATGTTTATGCTTATTTATAATCCATTACTTGTACCATTACATCGAGACAGTTAGGGTGTGTTATGGATATTATGATTTCCATTTGTACCCCTATGGACACTTCAATCCATTATGTATGCTATGTCGTGCTTATTTAAACTATTATGAATGTTATGCCTTGCTTATTTAAACCATTATGAATTATGATTATTATGATTTGTTTATTTAACTCATTATGAATTATTATTATTATTACTGTATGTTTTAAACTTTAAAGGAAAATGTTCATTTCAAATATCCATTATGTTATGTCTTATGAAAGTCATGAATGTTAAATATCTTAGTTATGTAATTAATATACTGTAATATTAGGTTGATCGAGGACGATCAGACGTGTCAGGATGGCCGAACTGTAGTCTTATTTGAATTTCGCGCCATTGACAGATCTGATTGTCACTCAATTTGAAAAAAAAAGAAGATAACCACACACTTTATGTTTAGACTTGACACTTGTGATTATGAATTATGGCCATCTGAATGTTATGAAAACTATTATGTCGAATTATGTACAATTAGTGTTTCTTTCCGCTAAATAAACTTAAGAAAACTAGAACAATATTATTTATTAACGGAGCCTACATTATATATCCGAGATATTTATATTCATTGCATGTTTTTGTGTTTCTAATTTCTAACGCATCCAACTAGATGAGAAAGACATCAAACTTATTGCCAAACTTTACTGGAACCAAACAGCCATTATTAATACCAACAACAGAGAATCAAAGCCAATCAGTATTGAACGAGGCGTAAGACAAGGCTGTATACTATCTCCCACCCTCTTTAACGTGTATTCTGAGAATCTATTTAGGGAAGCTTTAAAAGATCAAAAAGGAATTATCATAGGAGGAGAAATAATTAACAATATACGGGACGCCGACGATACTGTGATTCTAGCTGAAAACATCGACGATCTGCAGGAGCTAATCAATAGAGTTGACATGGAATGCACAAATTGGGGACTGTCGATAAATATCGATAAAACTAAATACATGGTGACCAGTAAAGTGGATATCGGCGCAACCCAACTGATATTAAACCAACAACCGCTGCAGAGAGTTCAGAGATTCAAATACCTTGGATGTTGGATTACCCAAAATCTAGATCCATCCTTCGAAATTCGATGTAGAATTGAATAGGCAAGAAACTCATTTTAAAAATTCAAGCCTCTATTATCCAATAACTCATTAAATTTGGAAATCCGTAAAAAGTTTACAAGATGTTACGTGTAGTCTGTACTTTTGTATGGATGTGAAATTTGGACTTTAAATGCCGATATCATGAATAAAATCGAGGCGTTTGAGATGTGGTTGTATCGAAGGATACTAAAAATTCCATGGACTAGCAGAACCAGAAACGAAGAAGTTCTTCGAAGAATGGGACATCAACGAACTCTATTAAATATTATTAAGAGGCGTAAACTAGAATATCTTGGACATATAATCAGAGGACCAAGATATGAGTTCCTTCGGCTAATTCTCAACGGTAAAATCGAAGGAAAGAAATGGATAGGACGGAATAAACTCTCTTGGTTGAGGAATTTGCGGCAGTGGACAGGTTTGACAGCGGACCAATTGCTACACGTAGCGCAAGACCGAGATCAGTATAATAATATTATAAGCATAGTAGTCACCGACGTTCCGTAGGGATATAGCACTCTAAGAAGAAGAATTTCTAACTCTGGATCTTCTTCGTCATCTCCTATTTTAAGATACCCTGTCTTTGACATATTCATATTGAGGCCCCATTTTTCATATTCTTTCTTTAGTTTTTTAAACATGTAGTCCATGTCTTCCTCATCATTCGCTACGACTACCTGATCATCTGCGAAAAATAAAGTTGTTAGACATTTACTAGCGCCTATATCTATTTCCATTCCGGATACTTGTTTCCTCCACTGCTCTAGCGATGATTGAATATATATTTTAAATAGGGTCGGAGAAAGACAACATCCTTGTTTAAGCCCCTTCGTTATTGGAAATGATTCAGATTTAAAGTTTCCTTCTTTATCGACACTTCTTGCATTTTTGTATATATTTGCAATAGTATTCACATACTCTCTACTGAGACCTACTTTCGTCAATGTTTCAAACAGTTTTTTCAAAGGCATCGTATCGTATGCCTTCTCTAAATCTACAAACAATAGGTGGGTAGATAGATTCCTTACCTTCGATTACCTGCTGCAGAACGAAAATACCATCAGTGCACAATCTTCCTGCACGAAATCTATTTTGTTCTTCTATGTCTTCGTATTCCTATGTCTATTCTTTCTTTTATTATTCGATGTACAACCTACCCACTGAGCTGACAACAGTTATTCCCTTATAATTAGAGTATTTGCGTTTATCCCCTTTCTTAAATATTGAGCTGATGTATCCCATATTCCAATCGTCAGGGATATTTTGTCCTTTTAAGCATTTGTTAAATAGTTGAACCAACATCTGATGTAATATTTTTGGTCCATACTTTACCAACTCAATCGGAATGTCTCCAGGTCCTGCTGCTTTACCGATTTTTCGATCTTTTGAGGGCATCGTTTAACTATCCGGTTGTTATCTCAATTATTTGTGTGTTTGGATATTTCTTCCATTTCGATCTTTTGAAATTTACACTTCTGAATAATACCATTATGAATAATACAAGGTAAAATTTTAAAATGATCTATAATTTTCGTCAAGAAATTAAATAGAAAACCCAATATTACTTCAGTCGTCAGAGACGAAAATGCCACCGAACCTCTAAAAATCATACGAACAAGTTGAATTTTGTCGAAAATATTAATTTTGGGACCCAAAAAAGATGCAAAAAAGTTTATCGCTTTTATCGATGGGCTTCCTACCAAAACCCCCCTCACAGGGCGGTAAAAACTCAAAAAAATCGATTTAAAAAGAATCTGTACATCGCAGAAAAAAAGAAAAAAATGTTTCCAATAAAAAGTAGCTTAGATGATTTTAAAGAAAATTGTTTATAAACATTTTTTGTGTATAATAAACCGTTCTCTTGGAAACGACGTTTAAAGAGACCATCGATTTTGCGTCAGTGTATCAGCTTGACGGTAAAAATTCGATATCTTTTGATTTAAGTGACCTAATGACAAAAATCAAGATGTGTTGTAAAGATAAAGAGTTTAGCTTTCGTATGTAGTTTTTGTACTTTGCCTCAAATAAACTAATATTGTATACAGGTGTTAAATAAATAAACGTGGCGCGATTTTTGCCATTTTTTATGATTCTAATGAGATCAATACAATATATCCCTTTCATTGACTGGCCACTATTAAGTTTAGATTACTAATGCCCAAAATTTAAAACCTGTAGTATGAAATTTTGGTTTTGAGTGTTGGCAACAAAGATGGGGCATTTGAAATATGATTAAAAACGCTAGATTTAAACTTTCTCACGACGATCTAAAACATTTAAAACCTTTTTTCCAATAACACTAGTCCGTTCATCAAAAGAACACAACTTCTGCAATAAGCTATATCCAAAACCGTCTTCTTAAACGCATATACCATGATGTGTGATCGTTTGTAATGTAAAATATTAAATTCTGCGTTTTTCATGCATATTTCAAATGCCTCATATTTGTTACCACAACTCAAAATTAAAATTTCATGTCATAGGTTTTAAAGACTGATCTCAAAAAATGAAAATGTTACTAAAACTGGTCAATGAACGTAATCAATTTTATTGATCTCACGAGAAGCGCAAGAAATGGCAAAAATAGCGATACATTAATTTATTTAACGCCTTTATAAAAACTAAGTTTATATATATATATATATATATATATATATATATATATATATATATATATATATATATATATATATAATCAATAACCCTTCTACCCTAAGATGTTGGGTGTAAAGTCTCTTTTAGTTTTCATGTACAAACTTCCTCCAATTCTTCTTGTTGCTTGCCAACTTCTTCGCTTGTTCCTTGGTGACTCCTCTCCTGTCTAGGATGGCGGCAATTTCATCGTCCCAGGTCTTCATGGGTCTGCCCCTCGGTCTTTTCAAGGTTCTTCTCGCTTCCCACACTTGTTTCACTCGGCTTTTTTTATCCATCCTTACCATGTGGCCGTACCATCTCAGTTGGGCTTCTTCGATTTTCTTCTCTATTGACTGGACTTTAAAGCGTTCTCTTATTTCATTGTTCCGTATCCTGTCCATTCTGGTCACCCCTAGTACTCTTCTTAGATACTTCATTGATATACTTTGCAGTTTACTTTTTAGTCTGGTGGTGAGCGTCCAGCTTTCACATCCAAATGTTAAGATAGGTACAAAAACTGTGTTGTAGATAGCTATCTTTGCTTTTTGGGATACTTCTTTTTTCGATAGGAATGTGCTCTTAATTGCGTGGTATATCCGGGAAGCGTTTGCTATTCGATTATTTATCTCTGCTTCTTGTGTACCCTTACTCTCTAGTTGCACTCCCAGGTATTTGAAGGTTTCTACTTGTTCTAAAGTATAGTTATTGATTTTAATGTTTGTATGTTGGTCTATTTTCCCACATACCATCACTTTGGTTTTACTTTCATTAATTCTCAGATTGCGTTTCTCAAGTTTATCTCTCCATTTGGAGGTTTCTCTTAAGTGCGTCCTCGTTTCTTCCAAATACGACGAGGTCATCTGCAAATGCGCACTCCGCAATCTGTATGATTTCCAGGTTTCTATGTCCAACAAATAATCTCGATGTTTCTTCTCTAGTTTCCTTCATTACATCATGTAGTACAATATTGAACAGGATGGGGCCTAGTACACCTCCTTGTCGTAAGCCATCATTGACTCTAAACTCTTCTGATTCCATATTATCTGTTCTTACCCTGTTTCTTGTGTTCTTGTATAGGCTCATAATAGCTTTTCTGAGTTTGCCGTCTACTTCTCTGTTTCTTAGGCTTTTGTT